TAATATTATTATTTAATTAAATAAATATAATATAAATATAATATAAATATAAATATAATATACCATAATATTATTATTTAATTAAATAAATATAACATAATATAATATTTACAATTTAATAAAAGTAATAATATATAATATAAATATAAATATAATATAACATAATATTATTATTTAATTAAATAAATATAATATAAATATAATATAATAATAATAATAATAATATATATATATTCAGAGATAAATGTGTGTTGAACTAGATGATTGATTGTACAAGGACCTAATTTGAGATATAAAAACTGTATAAATGCGTTGAAAGGTTGGATATAAAATCGGTGATATAGATTTTATCACAAAAGTTTGAAAGGTTCAAGTAAAGGAGGGGGTGGTGGAGGGGGAGGGGTGGGGATGGAAGTTAGGGTGAAAGAAAGTATCTCGTTCCCTTTTTGCATGTGGGTTAACGAGTTCTTCAACTCGTTCAATGTATCCTCGTTGTGGCAAATATCGATAGAATACGAGGAAGAAGGAATCGAGATGGTGGAGTGTTAAAGGGGAGGAGAGGGGGTAAGACTATTTTGCTTTCCAGAATTGCAAGCTTCAAGAAAAGCAGTTTGAAAAATGTACGAACAACATAGTTAAAGTCTTACTTACGGAAATTACGTCTACGAAATGTTACAGCTTTAGCTTCAGCTAGCACCCTCACCCCTAACCCCACTTCATCAACCCTCCTTTTCCCCTTGAATTTCCAAGATTCTTCCTTTTTTTTTTCTTTTTTTTTTTTTTATCTCCCGCTTTCCTCTCGTTTGGTTTAGTAACTAATGGATACATTTTCAAGGAAGTTTACCGTGAACTTAACCGACCAACCAACCAACCAAACCAACCGTCGAATAACTTGGCCATTTTCATTCTCTGTGTTGTCCTATTGCCCTATACGAGGATATTCTCGATAATATATGATAGTTGTGTTCTAGAAATGCAGAACACGAACAACTATCGTGATTATTTAGCGTGTGTTGGTAAAAGATACGCTATATAATCTTACTCGTGTAGGGAATTTAAAATGGAATGGTTTATGTTGTCAAAATGATGATGTCGTCACAGGGAAATGTAATACAATACTCTAATATGTTTCAATTTTGTATTACTATTATTATTATTATTATTTTATAGGATAATTTATTTAAGCGTTATAATTATATATTGTATTTATAAATATACTAGAGATAGTTACTAGATTTACATACTTATTCATACGTGTATAATTATTTCAATGTAAATTAATACACCCATTAAACTTGTATTCAAATATTAATAATTATAAAGTAAATAAATAATAATAATAAGAGAAATTTTAATATTTTAATAATATTAATATATATTATATAATTTTAATATATTAAAATATTAAATTTATTATTTTTTGATATATATATATATATATTAATTTTAATAATATAATTATAATTATATTATTTTTTAATATTAATTATATTAATATTAAATTATATATTAATTATATTATATTAAAAGATATATTAATTTTAATTGTAATTATTAATTATAATTAATTTTTAATATANNNNATTAATATTTTAATATTTTATATATAATAATAAAAATTTATTATTATTATTTATTTATTTATATAAAATAAAATAAAAATAAATGATTATATTTTTAATTTAATAATAAATAATTTTATTTTTAATGAAAAATAAGTAAAATTATTTCAATGTAAATTAATACACCCATTAAATTTATATTCAAATGTTAACTAATTTAAAATTCGTTCGAATGATAGGGTTCATTCGTCATTTTTGAATAACATTCAATTATTACAGTAAAATATTAAATTACAAAATATTTTTCATATTATGTACAGGGTGTTGACGATCCAAAACCAACATATACGTTCGAATTGACAACGAGTTACTTTTCGATCGATCCGTCAGGCGTGTTGATTGTAAACGAAGAAAATTTGGATCGTGATCCACCGAATCCTGGTCGTTTTCGTTTTCAAGTTGTCGCTAGGGAAAAAACGGGCATGGCTGCATCAGCACCGCTTTCTTTCGTCGTGACGTTGAACGATGTTAACGATAATGCACCTCATCTTCCTATGACTGCACCGATTTCGGTACAAGCAGGTGAAACCAGACGAGAAGTTACCAAGGTATTTTGTTTTGTTCTGTTCTGTTTTATTTTGTTTATAAAAAATCAATTTCGTTTTATTGATTGAATGTGAAACATTTTGTTAGGTCGAGGCAACTGATAACGATGAAGGTGAAAACGCAGAAATAACTTACAGTATTTATCACGTTTCCAACAACGGATTACACAAATTTAAAATAGATCCTAAAACTGGTGTCATCGAATCCGTGAGAAAACTTAATGCGGGAGAACAATACAGTATTACAGTACAGGCAACTGACAAAGGTGGTAAATATTCACAAACCATTGTAGAAGTAAATGTTATTCCTGGACCTAATACCAGGAGTCCAGTATTTCAACAACCAGTTTACGAAGTACAAGTTAGCGAAGGTGCATCTATCAATTCAACCGTTGCCACGATCACTGTAAGTTTTTATGTATATTAGTCCAACGAATTCTTGAACTGTAATATTAAATAATAATTATAAAAGTAGTTATTATATTCACAAATTCGTATAATTTGTAAAGGCCATTGACCCGGAAAACGATCCCGTTTCTTATTCCATTGTTTCGGGTAATGATCTGAGACAGTTTGCCATTGGTGACAAGTCTGGTATTATAACTGTCATTAGAAAATTGGATAGGGAAGATTTAACTCGTTATCAATTGGTAAGTTTAGTTCTTTATCTTATTGTTGACATAAAATAAAAAAATAATAATAACAATAATATTTTAATTGTAATTATTTTTGTTTTGTTTTGTTTTCTTCTTCTTATTATTATTATTAGGACTTTATTGTGTTATTTTATATATTATATATTATTTATTATATAATATATAATATGTTATATTATATATTTATATATAATATATATTATAAATAATATTAATATTATATATAATATTAATATATTTATTTTATATATTTTAAATATTTTATATTATTTATAATTTTAAATATTATATATTATATATATATTATTAATATTATTATTATTATTTATATTAATATATTATATTTGTATGAATTTATATTATAATATATATTTTGTATTTTGAAATAAGTTAATAAAAGCAGAAGATACGGGTGGACTTTCGAGTACAGCTACTGTCAATATCAAGGTCACCGATATCAATGACAAAAATCCAGAATTCGTAGAATTGCCTTATCAATTTTCTGTGAAAGAAGGTGAGGCACGTAAATTGATAGGTCGAGTTCATGCCGAGGATGCTGATGAGGGTATCAATGCGGAAATTACTTATTTCGCACCAGACGATATTCCATTTATGGTTGATCCTGAAACTGGCGACGTCTTGACGAAAATTGTTTTAGATTATGAACAAAATGACGTAAGTATTAATAAATAATTATTCATTTTCTTTTTTTTTTTTAATTCAAAATAATGCTTTCCTTTTCGGGATACATGGGATGCGTCGACCCGTTTTAATATAATACTTCTTAATTTACATTATATATTTTTACAAATACACATACACACAAATACGCATTTATTAACCATCTTCTTTTTGCTACTGACTCTTAACACCGTTCTCTTCTTCTACTTAATTCTTTCAAATAATTATTCATATTTATCAACTTACATTTTTATTCGTAATTTCATTTACATTTTTTTTTTTTTTTTTTTTTTTTTAATTCATTTGCTTGTCAAAAACTTTTGAACGATCTTTCAATTTATTAATATAAAAGTATTTTCAATTTAATTATTTAAAAAAAAAAAAGAAAAATTCTATTCAATTTATAGGAAAAATTAAAAATACGAATAAACATTTTGAAGAGGAATAATTATATAACGAGATTTAAAATTATTCGATTTAAACTGTATGTCTTCATACAATTATTAGATGCAATCTTTTAACGAGATATTCGTTAATAATTAATCTAACTTTTTGAAAATGCTCACGAATTAAAAGTTAAACTTTCAAATGAAATAATTATCGTTAAATATGTATAATAATAAAAGTTTTCGAAACGTTTATTATTGTCCTTGGATTCTTGATTCGAGCTAATTAAAAAGTCTTTTAATTAAACCCTCATTTGCAATAAAATATAATATTAAACGTAAACTTCAAAATTGGAATAAAGAAACCTAAAAAAAAAAAGAAAAAAAAAGAAATAAAACAAAAAATGTAAAGAGAAAAGGAGAGAAAAGTTTTTAGGGAAACTTTCCAAGAAAAGTATATATTTCCATTATTTGAAAGTTTCGTTTGAATGAAGTTTTTGACTAGTTTTACAAAAGTATTGGAATAAACGTGATAAAAAAAAAAAAAAAAAGAAGAAAATAAAAAACTACATTCTTTTCTAGTTTCTTTTTTTTTATTTTTATTTTTTTGATATTTCAAAGTTTTCGTTGAAATTGGCATCGAGTTGAATGGTGTGTTGAAAAGTCTGCGTGTATATATGTGTTTTTCTCGAGTGTCAATTCGAATTTAGAAAAATCTTATTTAAATAATTCAACTCGAGTATTATAATATCAAAGATGATAGTGTAAACAAAATTATTTATGAGGAAAATGTCCTGTTTTGAATAATCCTACTTTGGAATAATCCTACTTTTGAATAATCCTACTTTTGAATAACCCAATTGAAGAAAAGAAAACTTGATACATTTAAAATGTGTACTACATTGTAAACGAATTCAAAATGTACTTGTTACACCGAGATATTTCTATTGTTTTTAAAAGGAATATTGTGGGAAGTGTATTTATTCTCATACTCTCTCTCTCTCTCTCTTTCTCTCTCTGTCTCTCTCTCTCTCTCTCTTTATCTGATTCTACGAACAATCAAGAATTTTATCGTCTGAATCTCGTTAAATTCAACCGAGTGCATCCATCCTTTCCTTTACTTTAACACTCCATAAATTATTTTTATTTTTTTTTGTCTAATTTGTTTAATTAATAATTCTCCTTTTTTTTTTATTATTCCATCTAGTAGGTATATAATAATATAATAATAATAATAATTATTATTATTATTATTATTATCAATTTTTAATATTGTACAATGTTCAAATTATTTTGAAAATAATAAAAATATGTGAGAATTATTTTCATTTATAAACGATTATATTAAAAATAATATTTAATTATTTTGTTTGAAATAATTTATTAGAAATTCTTTGTAACAAATTTATCTACACTAATTTAATTATACAAGTTGTATATATATATATTATAGAAACATAATTTATTAGAAATTCTTT